AGAGAGAGAGAGAGAGAGAGCGAGAGAGAGAGACTGAGAGAGCACGCACAACTGAGCACAAAAGAGAGAACTCTCAAATTATTAAAATCAGGATCAAAGAGGGGTCATTACTAAAAAGCTTGGAGGAATAAAAACAATTGTAAGTGGATAGTATGAACAACTGTACACTAACAGATTAACCTCGACGAAACAGACAAATTTCTAGAAACATAAACTATCAAAACTGACTCCAGAAGAAAGAGAAAATCTGAATAAAGCCATAACAAGAGATTGAGTTAGTAATCAAAAAACTTTAGAATCTCTCTGAGACTACTCTGGCCTGAGAGGCTGCTCGATACAAAAACAAAAAGCAAACTTCCCACAAAGAAAAGCTTCACTGATAAATTCAACCAAATGCTTACAGAAGAATTAAGACCAATCTTCTGTAAACTCTTCCAAAAAAAAAAAAAAGAGGGGGAACACTTCCTAACACATTCAATGAGATCAGTATTGCCCTGATACCAAAACCAGACAAAGAGATCACAAGAAAGTAAGCCTATAGACCAATGTCCCTTACAAACATGGATAAAAGTCTTCAACAAACCACCAACAAAGTGAATACATATGGCGGCATATTAAAAGGATTATATACTAAGACCAAGGAGGATCCATTCCAGGAATACACTCTTGGTTTAACATATGAAAAGTAATCAGTGTAATGCACCATATTAATACAATGAAGAAAAAACATGATAATCTCAACAGACACAGAAAAGCCACATAAAACCCAGCACTCTTTCATGATAAAAACATCTAAATTATAAATAGAGAGGAAATTTCTCAATCTAATAGGGCATCTAAAATATCTATCAGTTCTTTTCTGCGAACAACTACTCGAAAAAATATGAGAAATACATAAGTACAAAGTTTATGAAAGGGAAATGCAGTTAAACAGGGAGAAGGTAGTTAAAAAATTGAATTTTAATATATCTTAGTTTCAGATATCAAGAATTAAATGGAATTTAAGTGTCACACATGCAAACACATAGAAATGTTTTAATTTTTAATTTACATCCCCTTCAAATGTAAAATCCCAACCTCTAAATAATGCAGTATCTGAATACATACACCAAATCACAAGAATAACAACATTTAATCCTACCTGAAAAAGATCCAAAAGAGGCTTCCAAGAGAGCATTAAGACTGCTGCTCTACTGATAGTTTTGGGAATTTCAGAATAAAACAGTGTATTTTCTCTGTTCTCGCCAGACATGGCTATAAGAGAAAACAATCACATATTATTATTTTTCCAAATAGCATTCTTACAATAGTCACAGTTGCAAGTACATAATGCCTTCTATACGTTGGAATATTCTGCACTCTACGGGATTTATAATGAATGTCAATAAGTACGCTGTGCCCATGCCATATGCCATAAAAACTTTCCATAAAACTTTCCAAAAAATATTAGCCTGGCACAATACACATGCCTATAATCCCAGCTACTTGGGAGGCTAAGGCAGGAGGATCACTTGAACCCAGGAATTCACCACCAGCCTAGGCAACATAATAAAATCCTAAAAAAAAAAAAAAAAGCCCAAAAAATCAACAAAAAGAAATCCAAGGCTTTAAAGAAAAATGCCCAAGTTTCATTTTAGACCTTAGTACCCCTCAAAATAAATATAAAAGTATGTAAGTTGCTGTGTAAAGTTAAGACAAGTACCATTTTTAGAATTTTTTGAGAATTGTGAGTCCTTTACAAGTTGGCAACAGACTCATGAGATTCCAATGTAACAACTTCAGATTACTGTTTATTCTGTTTCTGAAACATTTAAAGTGCTTACTGGGAAACACACAGATCTAACCGAATTCTAGTTTTTATTCATTATAAAAGTCCTGCAGGCCAGGCTTGGTGGCACATGCCTGTAATCCCAGTACTTTGGGAGGCCGAGGCAGGCAGGTCATTTGAGGTCAGGAGTTCAAGACCAGCTTGGCCAAAATGGTGAAACCCTGTCTCTACTAAAAATACAAAAAAATTAGCTGGGCATAGTGGGAGGTGCCTATAATCCCAGCTACCTGGGAAGCTGAGGCAGGAGAACTGCTTCAACCCAGGAGGAGGAGGTTGCAGTGAGCCAAGACCACACCACTGCACCCCAGCCTGGGCAACAGAGAAACACTCCATCTCAAAAAAAAAAAAAAAAAAAAAAAAGTTCTGTAACTGTAATCACTAAAAAGGCTTTTAGGGTTTCCAATAAAAGCATACCTATATTAAAACAACACAGAATCTGGTATCTGATCTGCTGAAAATCTCTTTGTCCTTTATTGGGAAAGGGAAAGAGAAAAAGGTCTAAGTTAAGTAGAAGCCAAATCTCTTCTGTGAAATCATGTGTTAACTGTTTGGGAAGGTCACAGCAGTGTAAAATGAGTTACACATAAGAGTGACAGAAACACACTATGGTTATGAAGATGTGAAACAAAGAAAATGTGAACAGGGTAAAACAAAGTCCCTCTACTCTAAAAAGTTACTGGTGGCCAGATGCAGTGGCTCACACCTCAAATACCGGGACTCTGGGGGGCCAAGGCAGGCGAATCACCTGAGATCGGGAGTTTGAGACCAGCCTGACCAACATGGAGAAACCTCACCTCTACTAAAAATACAAAATTATCGGAGTGTAATTTTGTATTTTTAGTAGATACATGGTGGCACATGCCTGTAATCCTAGCTACTCAGGAGGCTGAGACAGGAGAATCGCTTGAACCTGGGAGCTGGAGGTTGCAGTGAGCTGGGATCGCGCCATTGCACTCCAGCCTGGGCAACAAGAGCGAAACTCCGTCTAAAAAAAAAAAGACAAAAACAAAGGTATTGCTTCCAAAAAGCTGGAGGAGTGAAGGAAGGAAAAAATAAATCACACAGAAATAACAAGAAATCTCCTGGGTGAACAAGATCCTCAACCTGTATTTCTGAATTATTAACGCCAGCAAAAGGTAGTCGTGGGAAGGGTATGCTACTCCCATGCTTACCCTTGCAAAGGTTGAGGATAAGCCCCCAAATAAACACAACTCCTTCTATCCTCTTATTTTTCCAAACCTTGGTTTATGTTGCCTTGGAGTAAAAAGTTAAGATAGTGGTTGACATTGATTTCAGCACTCAATTTAGTCTAAAATCTACTTCGTAGATTCTAGTTGCTTTGTTACAGAATTCTCATGATTGTCGTCACCCATTTATAACATTCACAATTTTATAAAATGTGATCATATCCTCCTTAACCATTCTCTAAGAGCCCTCAGTCTTCAAATATTAAAAGAAAAACACAGCCGGGTGAGGTGGCTCACGCCTGTAATCCCAGCACTTTGGGAGTTTGAGGCAGGTAGATCATGAGGTCAAGAGATCGAGACCAGCCTGGCCGACACGGTGAAAACCTGTCTCTATTAAAAATACAAAAATTAGCTAGGCACGGTGGTGCCTGCCTGCAGTCCCAGCTACTTGGGAGGCTGAGGCAGGAGAATCGCTTGAATCCAGGAGGCGGAAGTTACAGTGAGCCAGATCGCGTCACTGCACTCCAGTCTAGCAACATGGAAAGACTGCCTCAAAAAAAAAAAAGAAAAACACAAAACTGGGTTTCTTCTCTCCTCAGTAACAGCCATTCCCCACAATTATTTCAGTTGCCCCTCCCTATATGCTCCTAGTTCCATAATGTCTTCCTTGGTTTATCCATGACAAGTAAAAATTTCCCTAATACCATCTATATCCTGACCTAAACACAAAAATGGGCTTTTCTCATTCTTTCCTAATGGTATTTATTAGGAAAGAATGAGAAAAGCCCATTTAGAGCCTTTAGAGCTATAGCTGCCCATGTCTTCAGGCAATGCTGTCAATGAGTCCTGTTTCTCTTTAGGATAACATGACAAAGAACAAGAGGCAAAATTAAGCATGCAAAAAAGTAAAATGCTAATGTAACAAAATGCTTATAACTAAATAATAGGGCTTCTTCTAAGTATCCCACATTTGGAATAAGGGCTGTCCAAAATGTGTAATTTCCTATAAAAGAAAACATTTCTGGCCAGGTATAGTGGCCCACACCTGTAATCCCAGCACTCTGGGAGACTGAGGCGGGTAGACTCTGGAGTTTGGGACCAGCTGAGCAACATGGTGAAACACCATCTGTATCAAAAATATAAAAATTAGCTGGGCATAGTGGCATGTGCCTTTAGTCCCAGCTACTCAGGAGGCTGAGATGGGAGGATGGCTTGACACTGGGAGGTGGGGGTTGCAGTGAGCCAGGATCACACCACTGCACTCCAGCCCAGCCAACAAAGTGAGACCCCATCTCAAAAATAAATAAATAAATAAATAAATAAGGCTGGGTGCAGTGGCTCACGCTTGTAATCCTGGCTAAGGCAGGAGGATTACTTGAGCTCAGGAGTTCCAGATCAGCCTGGGCAACATGGTGAAACCTGTCTCTACAAAAAAAAATACACAAATTTGCTGGGCATGGTGGCATGCACCTGTAGTCCCAGCTACTTGGGGGACCAAGATGGGAGGATCATATCAGCCTGGGAGGTCAATGATGCAATGAGCCAAGATCAGGCCACTGCACTCCAGCCTAGATGACAGAGCGAGACCCTGCCTCAAAACATAATTAGTTAATTAAAAAATACACAAATTTGGGACAATCCCACAAAGGATTAATTCACTTACAGTAATATATAAAATGGTTCAAATCATTAAGAAAAAGAAACGCGCCAGGCGCGGTGGCTCAAGCCTGTAATCCCAGCACTTTGGGAGGCCGAGGCAGGTGGATCACGAGGTCAAGAGAGCGAGGCCATCCTGGTCAACATGGTGAAACCCCGTCTCTACTA